GGAAAATAATGTGTTTTTTGAACCTTAAACCGCATAAACACATTTCATTACACCAAATACACAAAATACTGTTCTTTTTAACAGCATCATATGACCCCTTTAATACTTATACTACATATAAGAATAAGAAAAACAACATTATACATAAAATAATATAAATATATAAATGATTGAAATAAATACATACATTTGAACTAAAAAAGTATACTTTATATAATGGTATAATAATTCTAATAATAACTCAAATTAATACAATAATATTAATATGACTAAATAAATAAATGAATAAAAAAAACTAGGTTGCGTGACCAGCTTAAACCAACTAAAACAATTGAGCCAGCTGGTTTAAGATTTTTTTTTTCTTTCTCAAAATGGTATAAAGCTATTTTTGAGTGGAATAGCTTAGATAATTTGCTCTTAGAAGAATTCAATAATATATATTTGAATTCATATTGAGATTTTTGCCGATGTCAGACTGTGACATCCATCTCTGTGATTGTTAATTTAATATAAATCTCTGTCTTTAAAGACAATATGAGTCTCTGATTTTGTTGAAACATGTATTGGACATAAACTGTGGTTTGACAGGGTTTTATACAGTTTAATGCGGTTGTAATCTTATTTCTGCTGTCTTCAGTGCAAGGTGTGTGTGTGAAATAGACTTCCTGCTATGGAGAGTTATGCCTGGTTGGCTATATTATGCAATTTCATTATCATATGGGCCATGCATCTCACATCCCATTTATTATGGCAGATAAATAGCTCCCCACAGTTTAACAGATGGCAAGGAGAGATCCAGCAAGGAGATTTACACTGGCTTTCTTCTGTAGGTTAAAGCCAGTATGAGACATGCACCTTTAGGAATGTGTGTATGTGCATCTCACCTGACCGGCAGCCAGCCAGCCGTATTTGTCTTCTGTAAGATTCATGTCACGGTCGAAAGAGTATAGTTGTCGGTATCGCAGATGCTCAATGTCCACAAGGTTGAACTGGCGACGGGCATAATAGTAGCTCTCGTTGTTTCCTTTCCTGGGAAAGTCAAGCCATTCCGGATGGCCAAACTCGTTACCTGGAGAAAGAAAAGTTTGAAAAATGAAGATTGCAAAGGCTGGTGAAAGCTTTTATCACCAACAAGAAAACACACCCCAGAGCATTTTAAGGTAATTTTGTGTGGTATGAAAATATTATAACTTACATCCCCTACGGGTCCTTTTCTCATGAGATTTTCTTACTGCACTGTTTTTAACTAAATAAGATTTATTTTTAATTTTACCAGCATTACAATATATGCTTGGCCATCAACAAGCAGAAAAATCAGCCTTATCTAAAGATCTCCAAGCAAGGTTCAAATGTTTCATTCATTCTTTCTTTCTTTCTTTCCTTCTTTCTTTCTTTGATATAAGTGACAGAAACTGTAGTCTTGTTGAAAGAAGTCTTGTTGGGGTTTATAACAATACATGAATTTACAGTAAGGAACAAGTAATAACGATAAGTAAACAAATAAATAAATAATAGTATTTAATACTTTAAGCTATGTAAATATTACTACACATTACATATACATAAATAAATACAAACAAACAAATAAATAAATCTGTAAAATAAATAAATTTGCTATGTAAATGCTACTACACACACACACACACACACACACACACACATTTAATAATTATAGAATACTATTATAGAATAACAATTATATAAAGTACAAATAATAATAATAAGTCAAAATAAGAGTTAAAGAAGGGTTAAAGTAATTTTATTTTCACCAAAATAAATATTTTCGTTTTGATGAAGAGCCACAACTTTCTTCTCTTCTTGATGCAAACAGCATTACTTTCTCAATTAAAGCATCTAGCTAAATTTATACTAAGGAGTCCTTTCATAGACATTCACTGATTACCAAGAAATGAAAAAGAGCAGCAGCAGAAAAGGACATTGAGACAGTGAAGAAGAAATAAAAAGTGAGAAAGAAAGAGGGAGAGTATCAGAGCGATCAAATCCCTCAGCTTCCACTTGAACTTTACTTAATGTGCACGGGGACCTTCTGCAGCAAATAATTCTGATAGAGTCATATCATGTGTCAACCGGAGAGAGACAGAGCATAGGCTAGCAGTGGCGGACACTCGCACAAAGAACCATGACAGCTCAGACCCCACAATTAAACGAAGAGAGTGAAGATGACGAGACACTTTGTCTCTCTTACGGCTCCTGTCGCCTCCGTCATGCGCCTTATACTGCCGCCCCATGAACTGAATACAGACACAACGATAAGGGACGTCCACTGCTCTCCACCTGCACATATATTAAGATAATCTTAAATTATTCAATGCTTGCACTGACGCCGTACTCCTGAAAGTTATGGGACAGCATTGAAAAGAGCAGTTTAAGCCCTACACATCTGCTGTTTTTCGGCAGGATGGTTCTCCTGAGTGAAAGTTTAGCTTGAGTGAATTGCGATGCTCCATAGATTCACTGCCTATGCAAAATCCTGCAGTTGTATGCATGAGGCATTTTGAAAGATATATAAAGCTCACTTCATAACACCGGTTGATTGACAGGTAACAGGGGTCGAACTGTATCTTTCACAGGTTAGATCAATATGGGAGCTATAACTTGGCAGCATATAGGGGAGATGGATTTTATCCAGGCCAGAAGGACTGCTGCTGTCCAGGTGCAGGTTAACAGCTACATTTTCTTTTTTCTTACAGCCGGGAGCAGATGCTACAATCTATAGATTGAAAAGTTACAGAAGCAAAAGTAGAACTGTACATTTTCTGAAGAAAACACCCATGCAAAACTCAACCGTGCAGCGGTTGCCAGGTGTTCTGACTACTTTAAAGTGTATTGCTATGTGGTTGCCAAGTAGATTGAAGAATTGAACTGAGAATGTCTTTTAAATTCCAGTTTCAATTGAGGTGACAAACAGGATGAAGAATTGCAATACGAATTAAAATTAAAATTCACATTGCTCATTTTTAACTAAAAACAAAGACTGTCAGTACAAACATTGAATGTTGGTTTGACAATGCCTTGAAAGTTTTGGAAAAGTTTAAAATCCATTAAGTTTGAATGTTTATACACTACCGATCAAAAGTTTGGGGTTGGTATGATATTTTTTGTTTCTGAAAGACATCTCTTATGCTCAACCAAGGCTGTATTTATATTTACAAAAAATAAAGTAAAAACAGCAATATTGTGTATAATTTTAAATTACAATTTTTTATATTTTAATATATTTTAAAATGTAATTTATTCCTGTGACTGAATTCTCAGCAGACATTATTCCAGTCTTCAGTGTCACGATTCTTCCAGAAATTATTCTAATATATTGATTTGCAGTTAAAGAAACATTTCTTATTATTATCATTTTTGAAAACGGCTGCTTAATATTTTTCTGGAAACCATATTACAATTTTTATTTTAGGATTATTGGTCCCACTTTATATTAAGTGGCCCTAATACCTGTGTACTTACATAGTAACTAGATGTGTACATAGTATGTAACCACAGTGTAAGTACACATTGGTACACAGTTGTAATGTTTGTGTAACTACACATATATAACAACCCACTGAATGGTATGTGTAACAGGACATTGCACTTTTTGGTAATGAAAGTACAAATGTGTAACAGGACTAATAGCACTTTTTGGTAAAGAAAGTGTTACACTTTATATTAAGTAAACAATTCCTATGGATTTACCATGTAATTACTCTGATGTTACACAGCAGCGGCCAGTTAGGCTTTACATATAAATTGTGGTTGGTGTCCAGAATGTTACACTTTATATTAAGTGGACAGTTCCTGAGGAGTTACCATGTAAGTACACTGGTATTACAGTGGTGCACCAACTCCACCAACTTGAGATCCAACTCCTCCCACTTTACATATCCCTAAATCTACCCATCTCCACCCCCTGGATCCCAATTCCACCCCTAAACCAATTACGTTTCTACATATTGTTGTTACAAAATGTAGTTATATATGTCCTGTTACACATTTGTACTTACACAAACCATTCGGAGGGTTGTTACATGTGTGTAGTTACAGAAACATTACAGCTGTAGATACTATGTACCAATGTGTACTTACACTGTGGTTACATACTACGTACACATCTAGTTACTATGTAAGTATACAGCTATTAGGACCACTTAATATAAAGTGGAACTGGATTATTTGATGAGTAGAAATAATTAATTTAAAAATTAACTGTAAAAAAAATATAGCATTTATTTGAAATAGAATTTTGTAACAATGTAAATGAGTATAAATAAACAAATAAATAAATCTTCATTCTTTCTTTCTCTCTCTCTCTCTCTTTCTTTCTCTTTCTCTCTTTCCCCAAACTTTTGAACTTGTAGGCCTTATGGACAGAATCATAGATGAAACAATAGAATATTAGATAGAACTGTACAACAATAGACAGACAGACACAGCACAAATGGTCCAAGAAGTCTTAAGTCAAAGTCCTGTAAGTATGAGCGGTAGTGTTTACCTTAGCAAGCACCACAAACATGCTAATTTTACCACTTTACAAAATGCTGATGCATATAAAATTCACATTTTGCATTTGTTTGTGTGAGTCACAAGAGTGCATTAAGACAACAAAATAGCACTCACCCAACATCTACACCCAACTATGCAGTGAGACCTTCTGAATAGGACAGAGTCAGATTTGTCAATTAGTGTAAGCATACTATTTTCATTTTTAATTAGGCAGTCCACACTCAAGTAACCACACAAAGAGTATGCATGGATTCTTTCTTTCTCTCTCTCTCTCTCTTTCTTTCTCTTTCTCTCTTTCCCCAAACTTTTGAACTTGTAGGCCTTATGGACAGAATCATAGATGAAACAATAGAATATTAGATAGAACTGTACAACAATAGACAGACAGACACAGCACAAATGGTCCAAGAAGTCTTAAGTCAAAGTCCTGTAAGTATGAGCGGTAGTGTTTACCTTAGCAAGCACCACAAACATGCTAATTTTACCACTTTACAAAATGCTGATGCATATAAAATTCACATTTTGCATTTGTTTGTGTGAGTCACAAGAGTGCATTAAGACAACAAAATAGCACTCACCCAACATCTACACCCAACTATGCAGTGAGACCTTCTGAATAGGACAGAGTCAGATTTGTCAATTAGTGTAAGCATACTATTTTCATTTTTGATTAGGCAGTCCACCCTCAAGTAACCACACAAAGCGCATGCATGGCACACACACTTCCCTTTTAAGATTTCACTAATCCCATAATCTGATTTGACGTGCAGTGATGTTTGAAGTCAAGTTTCTCTTTGGTTACTATAGCGTGAGGCCAAAGATCCTGGTGAGCAGCAATGGGATTTAAATAGTTTGCATGAAAAGCCCTCCAAATGAACCCATAAATAAGAAATTGACTTATTTTTAGCTCTCCATCTCATTCATGTGTAACAAGCTGCAAGGTGGAGATTAGATGGTCTTTGAGTTCAGTGTCAATTTGAAGTCAAAGAAAGAAGCTCTTGCCTTCACTGTTAAAGATAATGTGACTTGTATGCGGCCTCTGTAGAACCGAGACTAACAGATGAGGCTAACGGAGGCTCAGTCTGGATTATGGCCAGAGAATAAAAAAAACAAAAAAAACACAGGCATATAGTGTTCTAACAGTACAACATGCTTTTTGAGAATGATGTGCATTTTCTATGCATATTAGCTGAGGAACATTAAAAGTATGTATTAATAAATGAAGTGTGACTTGATGAGAAATGACATTTTCAGCTGTAATTAACCTCCTTCAAAGCTACCTGTTATTTTTGAATTACCTTACCAAACAACAGGTAATTAATTGTACGCTTCCAACTTCCTCCACACATCTAATTGGCTCTGTAGGATACTATGATCAGTCAAGTGTATCTGGAAACCAAATTCAGATGAATATATATATAAAAAAACATTTTATTTATTCAAAAAAGTGTCACACCAATTTCTAACTCTGTGGATTTTTTTTTTTTTAATGTTAATGTCTTAAAGGGGTTGTTTACAAGAAGGAAATTAATACAGGTTTTCTTTCATTGCATCATC